CTCTGGGTTTCTCTGCCCCACCCACCCCCCATAGCCTGGGCCCGGAGCAGCCTGGCTGTCACAGGCCATCACTCTGATGGCCCCTGATCTGAGGTGCTGAGGCTGAGGCTGAACCTGCCCATCCCCCTCTTGACATCCCAGCCCCCACCAGCCCACCCTGCAGCTCTTCTCAGTGCCTGGGCCCGGTTTCCATGGCAACACTGCTGCTGGGGAATGATTCCAGGGAGAATGACATTCTTGCAGTTCTCCATTCTCCTGTCACCTGAGCGAGAATCCCACAGGCAATGAGCATGCATTGCCCAAGAGTTTTGGGGAGGCGGCCTCTCCCACCCGAGCCCCAGGCAGCTCCTGGTCCGTCCTGTTTGATTCTACTGAAGTACAATAGTGAGCTGGAATGTTCTGAAACAAAAAGCTGAGATTTGGAGCATTTGCCTATGTCTGTGGTGTAAATACCCCTCTCTCAGCTGATTTCAAGGCACCACTGTCAGGTCATTCATAAACTATCTCCACCCTTCGGACATGCGGACATGCGACACAATGACCCCAGGAGCCCAGGAGCTCGGACAACAGCAAAGTGTGGTGGTGTATTTATCGCTTTTGTTTTCAGTGTCACACACCTAGCTGAGTTTCTACAATTACAATGGTTGGGGTTGGCAGGTGGCATGGTGGTTAAGGCGCTGGACTCCCACATGGCTGACAGCAATTCGAGTCCCAGATCTGGTGGCTTGCTTTCTCAGTTTCTCTCTCTGTCTCTCTCTAGCCTAGTTAAATAATAATAATAAATAAAACTAAATAAAGCTTTTTTTTTTTAAAGGTTGGGCCAGCAGGTGGTGTGAAGGTTAAGGTGGTTGAATCCCACATGGCAACTGCATGGTTCTAGTCCCAGACCCAGAGGGTCAAAAAACATGCCAGGTCCATGTGAGTCTGCCCCAAATCCTGAGAGGATGGAGAGAAGGGGTTGGCACCCTGGGGGGTGATTTCTCACTTTCTCTGTGTCCTGTCTCTCTCCAGTGAGCACATATACCCTATAGCAACAACGAACAACAAAGGTTGATCATTCCCATTTTCATTTCTAGAAGAAATGAAAGTTTATTCACTCATTTCTTCTGCTAGAGACATGGAGAGAGAAGGAGCGAGAGATACCAGCAGGTCCTTACCTGTGATCCACACCCACTCCCAGCCCTAGCCAGCCTGGCCCACCCAGCTTGCACAGGGAGGTCTGGAATTCAATCGTGGGCCTCCTGTGCAGCCTCAGCCCTGGCTCTGGATCTAACCCTTTGTCTACACTCCTGCCGTCCATGCCCTTTCTCACTCGTTTTGTTTTGTTTTAATTATAGTGTATGTTTTCTCACCAGAGAGACAGAGGGAGAGTGAGAAATCACTCCCCGGGGGGGCTGTCACGCGACAGTCCCTCCTCCAGTTTCCTCTTGGGATTTTGGGCACACACCCATGTGCCCAGTGTGATTTTCAAACTGCCATGTCTGGGACTCATACCGTGCAGCCTGCCACATGGGATCCCGTGCCTTAAGCTTCTCTTCACCTCCTGCTCCCGACTCTTCCTTTTTCTTTCTGACAGCATGTGGCAGAGACAGAGAAAGACCCCACCTTCTCTACAGGATCTGATCAGGCTGGGATTCCCTCTCCTGCCCTCCAGCTCCTTAGGGTCTCAGGCATGGGGCTCCTGCCCTCCCTTTCTGCCCGCATTCTCTGCTGCGAGCCCACCGGGGGGTCTCTCCCCAGCACACCTCGGCTGGATGGCTACAGTGAGGATAGCCAGGTTCTTGGTGTTTCGGACAAAGAATTTTTTAAAGAATTGTTTTAAACTTTATTTTATTTATTTAAATTTGACCAGAGAGAGAGAGAGAAAGAAAGAAAGATTTTTGCTCTAGGGTGCATGTGCTCACTGGAGAAACAGAGAGACAGAAAGCGAGAAATCACGCCCCAGGGGCGATGGCCACGCCACATTCCCTTCTCCGTTCTCCTCCTGGGATTTTGGGCACGCATGCACACGCACCTGGCATGAGTTTCAAGCCACCAACCGGGTCCAGGCCTCAAATCACAGTTGACCACGCGGGAGCCTAGCAAGTAGTCATGCCACCTGCTGGTCCCAAGGTTTATAATTTACAAATCTAAGTTATGTGGGTTGATTATTGATTGGGCCACTGAGTCATCTCCTTGGCTGTGTCCAGTGGGGTTTAATCAGCTAGACACCCCCACTGATCTCCTGCCTGCGTTACCTGGGGTGGGGAACACCCAACCCCAACCAGTCTTCCTACCTAGCCACTAGTGCAGACTCACCCCCACTTGCTAGCTTTCTCCTCCCTCATTTTTGTGGCGTTTGATCCAAAAATGACACTTCAAGAAATTTTTTTTCTAATATGACAACCACAGATTACCCAAAGATTTATGTCTGAAAAATGGATAAATGTACCCCAAAATATGTCTTTGAAGCATTTTTCTTTTCATTTTGGTAGAGGGCATGTGTGCTTGCCCGCGGGAGGTGGTCCTGCCACAATCCCTTCTCCATTTGTCCTGTTCTGGGTGCACGCTGTCACAGGCCTGGTGTGTTTCCCAAGCCGCCAGGCCCAGAAGTCAAACGGCAGTCAGCCATGTGGGGATCCAGCCCCTTAACCTCCATGCCACAGGCCGGTGGTACTTTTTTTTAAGTTTTGCTATAGGGCATATGTGCTTACCAGAGGGCCAGACAGCATCCCGGCAGGGACCAGCCTTAGCCAGCCCTGGATCCTGGGCACATGTGTGACAGCTTACTCTGGGAGGTCCCTAGATGTGAACCTGGAGTGTTCCCACACGGGTCACCCTCATAGAGCGTCATGTGACATCTCCCTACTGTCCCACTGTCTGGTCCCTTTTGTTTATTTTTAAAATGTTCTACTACGGGCCTGTGTTTCTTTTATAATCTGACTGATGTTTTTTCAGATTTTAGATCTGATCTTATTTATTTGTTGCTCTTATAAAATCTCAGAAGTAGAAGCTCTCAGAGGACAGCCTGCGTCTCTTGGCAGTCTGTTCTTGGCGTTTTTCTTTAGCCTTCTTTGTTCTTCTGGCCAAAAGTTGAGCACATTCTGCTGCCTCCTCCACACTTTTCTTAGGAGGCAGTCGAGGGCCCCAGGCCGGCGTCCTGTGGCTGCATCTTAGGCGCTTGGGTCCTAGGTTCCTTACCGTGTTCGTTTACGGGCTTTCTCACAACGTGCCGGCGAACACCGTCATCTTTCGGATTCTGCTAGCTCTCTAGGCCCCAGGTGATGAGGCACCGTGGTGTCGGTCAGTCCTGGAATGTCCTTCTCTCGTCTTTAACAATAAGCAAGTTGAGAACACTCAGACTGGCATCCACAGTGTAACCCCGACAGATGTGCGTTTGCTTTCGCCAGTTCTCCGTGGTCTGTACCAGGAGTGTCCCTCCCTCAGTAGCGGGTGGACACGGCGTGGGTTAGGACACTCGCTTTCTGGGGAAAGCTTGCTTGTCGTTTCCGCCACCTTCTGTTCTTCACCCAAGCGCCAGCAGCTTCTGCGTCCCTACACTTCTCGTGAGAAGTACGAAGTGCGCTCATCGCTTACTTCAGGGAGTTTCTGGCAGCCAGTGGCAGGGAAGGAGAGGTACTTAGCTTCATCTTGAAGCTGCTGATCCCTGAGGCGCCGCGAAAAACAGGCTTGAATTCTGCTTCTAATCTGATTTTCTAAAATGCCCTTAAAAATTGGTTTCAAGGGACCAGCAGGTGGCATAATGGTTACGTCGCTGAACTCTCATATGGCCAACCGTGGTTCGAGTCCCAGACCCGGAGGCTTGAAATTCACAGTGCTTGCATGTGCGTGTGTGCCCAAGATCCCCAGAGGAGAAGGGATTGCTGTGTGACCATCCCCCCTGGGGGGTGATTTCTCGCTTTCTGTCTCTCCGTCTCTCCAGTGAACGCATGTACAGTATAGCAAAAATCTCTCATTAAAAAATGATTTAGAAAAACACTCTTTTCAGAACATGAAAATTTCGAGAAGGCAGATGTAGAAATCCTAAATAATGACAAAGATGTAAAGAACAGAAAGGGAACCAGCCGTGTGTCAGGGAGGGGTGCCATGAAATCGGGAGCTGCTGCAAGGCCAGGGACCTGTGGACAGCCCGGCTTTCCTCAGGTAGCCCTCTGTGTGCACAGCTGTGCCTGCCCCGTGTGTGATGCGCGACTGTCCCTGTCCCGCCAGCTCCCTGTCTGGCACCGTCATGCTGAGGTGGGGGACTTTGCTTCTGTCCGCAAACCTGTCTCCCCCTCTTCTTCACCCTCTCTCTGCACAAAACAGGCCAGGTGCCACCTGCTCATGGGAGCAGTCCTCTCTCCCAGGTAGGGTGTGGCACCTCGGAAGCTCCAGTCCCAGTGCTGATCCACAGGCCTGAAGGAGCTCCTTGCTCCATCCTGCTGGGCCACCCTCCAGCCTCCTGCCCTCCAGCCCTTCCCACCGCACCACGGTCGTGGGGAACGCTGCTTCGTCTGTAGGTCCCGACCCCACTTGTAATACCTCTCACTCCATGTGGAGTCTGTCCTGGTTCCTGACTTTGACTCAGGCCCAGTTTCTTGTCTGAAAAGTAGAGCAGTAGTGGCACCTCCCAGGGGGTTGTTGGGGGTCAGGATTCAACAGGGAATGGACCAGGTGCCTGAGAAATGACTGCTGTACAAGGGCCCCTGCCTTGCCACCCAGAGGCGGTCTTGCGATCCCAGGAGGGGTTCTTGTGGGCTGAAGCCTTTTCTCTTTATAATTCAGTTTCCACTTGGAGGATGCATCCTTAGGGACCCATCTTCCCCATATCCCCTCCCTGACCCTGAGCCCCCTGAGCCCTGACCCTGAGGACCCGGAGCCCTCAGCAGGAGAAGCAGGTTCGGGTGAGGGCAGGGACAGAAGGAAGGGAGGGGAGCTCCAGACAGCGCTCCATGGGGCTCTGTCGGGACAAAGGCACAGAGCAGGAGCCGGTCCTGAGAGGCGTGTCTCTGCCGCAGGTGAACGGGAAAGAGCTCTCCAAGCTGTCTCAGGAGCAAACCTTGGATGCTCTGCGCTCCTCCAAGGAGCCCCTGGTGATCCAGGTGCTGAGACGGAGCCCCCGCCCCCGGGGGGACAGCCCCTGCCATGACCTGCAGCTGGTGGACAGCGGCACTCAGACCGACATCACCTTCGAGCATATCATGGCGCTGGGCAAGCTGCGCCCGCCCACCTCACCCATGGTCATCCTGGAGCCGTACGTCTCCTCCTCGGAGCTGTGAGTCGCCCTCGGGAGGGCCCCGGGCCCTGCCTGCAGAGAGGGCAGGCCCCTGGGGCAGC